GCTGGGTAGAGCGATCTTGGTTGTAGGTTTTTGCATTTCATCACTTTGAATATTTCTTGCCAGTCCCTTCTAGCCTGCAGAGTTTCTGTTGAGAAGTCAACTGACAGTTTCGCAGGAGCTCCCTTTTAAGTAACTGATTGCTTTTCTCTTGCTGCTTTTAAGATTCTCTCTCTATCTTTAACCTTTGCATTTTAATTAAGATGTGTCTTGTTATGGGCCTCTTTGGGTTCATCTTGTTTGGGACTCTCTGTGCTTCCTGGACTTGTATGTCTATTTCCTCCACCAAATTAGGAAAGTTTTCTGCCATAATTTTTTGAAGTAGGTTTTCAATTTCCCGCTCTCTCTCTTCTCTTCTCTTCTCTTCTCTTCTCTTCTCTTCTCTTCCAGAACCCCCATGATGCAAATTTTGGTATGCTTGAAGTTGTCTCAGAGGCTCCGTACTATCATCATTTTTTTTTTCCCAATTCTTTTCTCTTCTTGCTGTTCTGATTGGGTGTTTTTTGCTTCCTTATATTCCAAACTGCTGATTTGACTCTCAGCTTCACCTACTCTACTGTTGATTCTCTGTAAGCTATTCTTTATTTCAGTGAGTATATCCTTCATTTATGACTGGTTCTTTTGTATGGTTTCCATGTCCTTTTATATGCTGTTGAAGTTCTAAGTTCATTGAACATGTCTAGAACCATTGTTTTGAACTCTGTATCATCTGGTAGACTGCTTGCCTCTATTTTATTTAGTTCTTTTTCTGGAGTTTTGTTCTATTCTTTCATTTGGGACATGTTTCTTTGTCTCCTCATTTTGGCAGCCTCTCTGTTTGTATGTATTAGGTAGAGCTTCTACATCTCCCGGGCTTAGTAGAGTGGTCTTATGTAGTAGGTGATCTGTGGGGTCTAGAAGCACAGCCTCCCTGATCACCCTAGCTGGGCACTCCAGGTGCACCCCCCCCCCATGTGGGCTGCGTGCATCCTCCTGTTGCAGTTGAGACTTGATTGCTGTTGTCTCATCAATGGGAGAGATTCACCACCAGGCTGTTTAAATGCAAGGACTGGTTGTGAACCACTGACCACTGACTTCCAACCACGATAGAGGATCAGCTGTGCAGAGTCCCACCCCACAGAGCAGGACTTAACTTCAGCAAGACTCTGATGCCTGCTGAGTCCACCCCTTGAGTGTGTTGCTTTTTTGAAAGTGGTTGCTGGTGCTTCAGTGTGGACTGAAGCTTTCCACAGTGTGCACTGTCTCTGGGACCTCTTGAAAAGTACAGGCCACAGTCAGCTGCTGCCTGTGTTCTGCTTGGGGCGATATGGCATGAGCTACAAAGCAATCTGCAGATGGTTACTACTTGTGCTGGGCTTGGAGGTGCCCAGGCAAAGCCAATCTGAATCAAGGCTGGCTGCTGCTAGTGCCAGGCCTGGGGACATTTAGCAAGAGGTATGGGGTAACCTGAGGCCAGATGCTGCTTATTTGAGAGATTTTAGGAAACTCTAAAGCAGGAACCAAGACAGGCTATTTATATGGGAATTCCACTGGAAACAGCTTGGGTGGGCCTACAAATTGGGTGGAGCAGGGATTTAGGGAATCACCAGGGCAGGGCAAACAGTGTAAGCCAGGTTGATGGAGACTTATATGGCACTGCCTGCCAGCTCTGTGTGTGTTGTAGAAGGGGGATCATCAGGAAAGGAACCATGGCTCTGCCAGTGCCAGCACTCTTCTCTGAGAGAAAACTGCCTCCTAGCTCTTGCCCTGATACCAGATGATTCAGTTCCTGCCCATATGTCCCTTGTGCTTTTTGAGATGCTTCCCCAGCACTGGAGCTCAGAGGGAGAGAGTCCCAGTAAGTCCTTGTATGGGCCCTTTAGGAGGAACACTTGGGAATCCAGAAGCCCTCCATCTCACTCAGCCATAATTCCTGCTGGTTTTTACAGCTAGAAGTTATGGGGACTTCTCTTCCTGGTACTGGAAGCTTGAACTGGGGATCCTGGTATGGGACTGGGACCACTGACTCCTTAGGAGGTACTTCCACAGCTGAGATAAGCTTCATGATTTTTATCTGCCACACGTGGATATAAAATCAGCCCAATGTGCATCTCCACCCCTCCACCAGCCTCAATGTGGCTTCATCTTTATTTTTATAAAGATTTTATTTATTTTCACAGAGAAGGGGAGGGAGGGAGAAAGAAAGAAACATCAATGAGCAGGAGGAACATTGATAGGTTGCCTCTTGTAATGGCCCGCAACCCAGGCATGTGCCCTGACCCGGAATCAAACCAGCAACCTTTTGGTTCTCAGGTTTGTGCTCAATCTACTGAGCCATGCCAGCCAGGACATGGGTTTTTCTTTATATCTCTAGCTGTAAGACTTCCATTGAGTTACATTTCAGGCAGTTCTGAATGATGGTCATTCTGTAGTTTAGTTGAAATTTATTTTTCGTATCCTTACCAAGGACATTTTCCTTGCTTTTTAGACACACACACACACACACACACACACACACACACACACACACTGATGTGTGAGAGAGAAACGTCAATTGGTTACACACTGACTGGGGGTTGGGCCCACAACCTAGGTCTGTGCCCTGACTGGGGATCAAACCCACAACCCTTCAATTTATGGGACTATGCTCCAACCGACTGAGCCACACCAGCCAGGGCTAGTTGGAATTTTGATGTGGTTGTGGGATGATGCTAGTACCACATTTACCTATGCCACCATCTTGACTGGAAGTCCCCTCGAGTCCCCATTTCTGAATTCAGAGAGGAAGACAGAATGTTAAACAAGCAATTATAACACCATGGTGAGTACTATAATAAGGGGCGTTGGAACTACACAGAGGGATATCCAGTCTCTGGTAGTCAGGGAATGCTTCCTGGAGGAGGTGTCATTTGCACTGATAAATGACCAAGTAAAAGTCAATCAGCACAAAGTATGCTCTCAGATGGTACTCCTTTTCTTCCTTCATGTTGTGTTTATGTTTGGCTTTGACATATGAAAAAGAATGCTACAGGTGGACCAGACACAAATTTAAACCACAACAAAACAGAGATTCCTCTGAAAGCACAAAGCAAGTGCTGGATGTACCCAGAGTGCTCAGCTTCACCAGGACTAGCCTGAGATTCAGGGGAATCTGAGTTCAAGTCCCAACCCTGCCTGACACTCAGATGTGGCACTGGGGTTCAACTCTCTGAACCCCAGTTCCTTTTTTATTATTCCTTTTTGAACCCGTCCCTGTCCTCCAGGTCTAGATACAGACATTGGATTTCATTCGATGCAGACCAATATCATCAAGGCTAATACCTTGGTTTTACAGAGGAGGAAACAGACCTAGGGAGAGGAGCAGCTTGCCGTTAGTGGTGGGCTTGGGAACTTAAGCATCCTGCCTTTTAGTACAAAGCTCATCCGCAATCATTTGTCTCTTTCCCATGAAGAGGGAGTCCAGTGGGCTCAGGATCTGACAGGAGGTGGCATGTTTTTGGATCTTTCTATCAAACTATGGCAACTTGTAGAGAGACCAGATTCCTCTTGAGACATCTGCCTAAAAAGGCACTGACAAATATTGAAAATGGCAAAAATGATGGACCAGCCATAGTAGGGAATACCATCATTTAAAAAGCTGATGTGGCACAAGATGTTTACGATATATCTTTTAAAATAAAGTATATTTAGATATGCAGAGAAATTACAAAGGTAGTACAGGAAGTTTCCATATACCTGTATTCAGTATTCCTGATTGTTATCTAAATCAGTATAATGCACTTGTTACAGTTAATGAACAAATATTGATACATTATGACTAACTAAAATTCATTCTTTATTCAGATTTTCTTAGTTTTTACCTTATATCTTTTTTCTGTTACATGGTCCTATCCAGGGTACCACATTATTCATCATATCTCCTTAGGCTGCTCTTGACTGTGACGAGTTTCTCACACTTTCCTTGTTTTTGATGACAGTTTTCAGAAGCACTAGTCAGGTATTTATAGAATGTCTTTCATTGGAGTTTGTCAAATGTTTTCCTCAGGATGAGCCTGGGGTAATAAACTTGGAGAGTGGTAACACATATGAGTTACCATTCTCATCACATCAAATCAAGGATGCATATTGTCAGCATGAATCTCAATGTTGATGTTGACCTTGATGATGACATGGATAAGGTCATCAGGTTTCTCCACTGCCCATGATTTTGATTTTGTCCATGATATTTTTTGGTCCAACTTTATTGAGATGTAATTGTCCATAATATTTATATGAATGAAAAACACTAGTTTCAAAAATAAGTGAAAAGTATAGACAGTTAAAAAAAAATAGCTGTAGCAAACATGTTATTCTTTACCTGGCCAGCACTGATTCTCCTTTCTTCTGGTAACACCTTCACCCAGTTCCCTTTAGGGAATGACCAGTATGACCAGCCCTTTATTCTTTTTTTTTTTTTTAAGATTTTATTTATTTATTTTTAGAGGGGGCGAGAGAGAGAAAGAGACAGAAACATCAATGTGTGGTTGCTTCTTGTACACCCTCTTCTGGGGACCTGGCCTGCAACCCAGGCATGTGCCCTGACTGGGAATCAAACCAGCAGCCCCTTGCTTTGTATGCTGACACTCAGTCCACCGAGCCACACCAGCCAGGGCCACCAGTCCTTCATTCTTAGCTGATGGGGTTTATGACTGGCTGATCCTATTCCTAGATGTCTGAGGTGGGCACATGACCCAACTTAAATAATCAGAGAAGCCAATCCTTTGGATCATTACTAGTTCAGAGGGTAAACATGTGACTCTAGCGTATCCAATGAGCATCAGCTCTAGAAAGAAAAATTGTCTATCTGCTAGCATTACTAAGCTGGTAGGATTTGAGCTTGGAGAACCAACCGGAGGAAAGCTGAAATGAGAAACAGAAATAGATTCCAGATTCCTGAAACATTATTTGAGCAATCACATCCAACCATGCTTGAAGCCAGTGTAGCTAGTGTTCTGCTCCTACTTTATTTTATTTTTATTTTTGTGTAGGGGAGAGGGCAAACACAGTTCCCCACTACCACACATTATGCAGTCAGGTTTCCCACATTTGGGGGAATCACAAGTGTCAGCACATCCAGAGTGCAATGGACAAGCCTCGCCCTGGGAAAACCACCTTCCTGATCATGGTATCTCCCCTGCTCCTATTTTAACAAATATTTTTACTATGATTTCTTTGGTTCTCTACTTATATCTATCATTATTATATATCTACATTTAATTTATATGTCTATTATCATCTATGTATTGCTGAATCATATCATCTGAGACTTACTCTGATTAAACACTCTGTCCCTAAATACTTTAGTGTTTATTTCCTAAGAATAAGGACATTATACTATGTAACTACAACACAATTGTCGTATTTAAGAAATTTAACAGCTCTGGCTGGTGTGGCTCAGTGGATTAAGCGCCAGCCTGTGAACTGAAGGTTGCTGATTGGATTCCTGGTCAGGTCACACACCTGGGTTGTGGGCCAGGCCCCCAGATGTGGGTGCATTAGAGGCAACTGATTGGGATATTTCTCTTGCACATCAACATTTCTCTCCCTCTCTTTCTCCTTCCCTTCCCCTCTCTATAAAAATAAATAAATAAAATCTTTTAAACTATTTTAAAAAGGGTATTATAGAAAAAAAAGAAATTTAACATTAACACCATACTATTTTCTGTGTATAGCCCATGTGCAAATTGCCTCAGTTGTGCTAATAATGTCCTTCTTGGCTCCAATTCAGGATCATGCATTGCACTCAGTTGTTGGATCTCTTTAGCCTTCTTCAACCTAAAACTGTTCTCCAAATTGTATTGCCCTTTATGAATGACATTGATGTTTTTTTTCCCGGACAGTCATTTTACAGAATATCTCAATTTGGATTTGTAAAATTATTTCCTCTTGACTGGATTCTGGTTAAGTATTTTTGTTGAGAATACTTCCTAGGTGATGCTGTGTCCCTCTCAGTTCCTTCACCAAGAGAAGGCATTTGGTGTTGGTTTTTCTCATCATTAGTGATGCTAAATTTGGCCATTTATATAAGGTAGCATTGTCCAGATTTACCCCTTGTAAAGGCACCTGATATCATTTGTAGTTAATAAGTAATCTGTGGGGTGATACTTTGGGACTGTGGACACCCCAGTCCTCCAAACACACAGGATTTTATTTTATTTTTTAATCATATTTTATTGATTATGCTATTACAGTTGTTCTGATGTTTTCCCCCTTTGCTCCTCTCCACCCAGCAAACCCCACTCCCTCAGGCAATCTCCCACCATTGTTCATGCCCATGGATCATCCATATAAGTTCTTTGGCTACTCCCTTTCCTATACTGTATTTTACATCCTAATGGCTATTCTGTAATGACTTATTTGTACTTCTTAATCTCCTCATCTCTTCACCCATTCCCCCACACCCTCCTCCCATCTGGCAACCATCAAAACACTCTCTGTATCCATGATTCTATCTCTGTTCTTCTTGTTTGCTTAGTTTGTTTTTTAGATTTAATTGTTGATAGATATGTATTTTTTGCCATTTTATTGTTTGCAGTTTTGACCTTATTCCTTTTCTTAAATAAGTCCCTTTAACATTTCATATAATAATGGTTTGGTGATGATGAACTCCTTCAGTTCTTTCTTGTCTGAGAAGCTCCTTATCTGCCCTTTGATTCTAAACGATAATTTTGCTGGGTAGAGCAATCTTGGCTGTAGGTCCCTGCTTTTCATGACTTTGAATATTTCTTGCCCATCTCTTCTAGCCCACAAAGTTTCTTTTGAGAAATCAGCAGGCAGTCTCATGGGAACTCCCCTGTATGTAACTAACTTCTTTTCTCTTGTTGCTTTTAAGATTCTCCCTTTATCTTTAACCTTTGGCATTTTAATTATGGTGTGTTTTGGAGTGGGCCTCTTTGCATCCAACTTGTTTGGGACTCTCAGTTCTTCCTGGACTCTCATGTCTATTTCCTTCACCAAATTAGGGAACTTTTCACTATATTTTGAAATAGATTTCCAATTTCTTGCTTCTTCTCTCCTCCTCCAGGCACCCCTTTGAGGCAAATGTTGGACCTCTTGAAGGTGTCCTAGAGGCTGCTTATAATTTCCTCATCTTTTTGGATTTTTCTTCCTTGCTGTTGTTCTGGTTGGCCGTTTTTTGCTTCCTTATGTTCCGAATCATTGATTCAATTCTTGGCTTCATCCACTCCATTGTTGTTTCCCTGTAAATTGTTCTTCAGTTATTGTATCTTTTGTTTCTGACTGGATATTTTTTATGCTGTTGAGGTCCTCATTAAGTTCCTTGAGCATCCTTATAACCAGTGTTTTGAACTCTACATCTGACAGATTGCTTATCTTCATTTTGCTTAGCTCTTTTTCTGGAGTTTTGATCTGTTCTTTCATCTGGGCCATATCTCTTTGTCTCCTCATCTTGGCAGCCTCGCTGAAAACACACAGCATTTTAAAAAGTGAGTTTGAATTGGGTGTCTATCACTTGCTACCAGAAGCACCATCATCATTATACTATGTACCAGTTATTGAAATTCACCCTTTTTACCTGTTCTGTGAAAATGGATCTGGGCCCTTTAAATATTTTTTTTTCCCTGTGCCAGATGATGCTGAATATTTGCCAGTAGGGGCACTAGAGAGACATTTCAGGGAGAAAAGATTTTACTTCCTGGTTCCATCTGCTCACTGTGTAGGCTCTTGGAGTATGCCTGAATGTTTCTAGTGTCCAGTTCCTCCAGTGTCTAGCAGCATCCAACAGCCATCACCTGTGCCTAGCACACTCCTCAAGTCATTTTGTAGTAAAGTGCCTCTAGCTCCTGTAGCACTTGCAGCCTCTCCTGTGCCAGGCCCCTATCCTGCTCCACAGCCAGCAGGACCCAGTGGCCAGCAGCTTCCCTCACCACTCTTCCCTGGGTAGTTTTTCAACAGCATTCACTGTAGCTCCTGCACTTCACCCAGTTCTTCTAGTGCCTGCCTCCTGCAGCATACATGGCTTTCCCAGAGCCAGTTCCTTTGACATGGGCTGTTTCTCTCGTACTGGTCACCTGCAGTACATGGTGGCTAGCAGTACCCCATGGCCATCAACTTCCCCTCATAATCCCTTGTTTGATTTTTTGTAATCAAGAGCTTCCAGAGAGACACCTTCCTGTGATCAGTTTTCCCCAGCACCCTAGAGAGCAGATTTCCAGAAAGTTCCAGAAGGTAGATTTCCAGAAAGGTCTACAGCCTCACCAAATTCTGTATCTCAGCTCTGGGGGGCGGAGGGACACCACCTGGGGTGTTGTATCTCATCCCTGGAAGCCAATACCTCCTTATTTCAATCACCTATTGTAATTAATAATTCTTCATATTATTCTTGCCCTGTTCTAATTGTCATATGGTTTCTCTCTCCTGGCTTAACCCAAACTTATACACAGAGTTGCGTGTATGTGTACTAAACTGAACTACCTGCCTGCACTATGTTTCTGCCATCTGAGCCAGCCCTTAAAAAGGAGTTCCTGGAATTCTTTTTCGACCAGTAGGACTGAAGCTTTCCCCAGCCAATCAGAGCTGCACAGCTCCAGCCAATCAGAGTGGCTCTATTTTGACCAATCAGAGCAGTGCCTTTGACACCAAACTGAAAATACGGAGTCCTCATTTGCATGAAAATAGACCAATCAGGGATTAGAGGCAGGACTTCTGTCTACATAAGCTAGCTCCTCCTCTGGTTCTGATAACACATTTTACCTTTCCACTTAAGACTGCATTTACCCTGAAGATATCTCATCAGAGCACAGTGGAGCAGACCAGCACAGGCCAGGGCAGACGGGCACAGAACAGAGCAGACCATAGTATACCAGCATGGAGCAGAGCAGAGCTATCCATCCAGAGAGGGACTTGGCCCAGGGCTATCTCACAGCCATGCTGTATTACAAATGAGCTGTTCCACATCTGTGCTATTTTTATAGCCATGCTCTATCACAATTCAGTTGTTTTTTTTAAGTGTATTTTATTGATTATGCATTTACAGTTGTCCCATTCTTTTTTTCTCCCTTTTTTCCTCCTCTGATCGGTACACCCCCTTTCCCTCCAACATTCCCTGCCTTAGTTCATGTCTACGAGTCATACATATAAGTTCTTTGGCTTCTCTGTTTCCTATACTATTCTTAACCTCCCCCTGTCTATTTTGTACCTACCAGTTATGCTTCTTATTCCCTGTATCTTTTCCCTCATTCTCCCCTCTCCTCCTCTGTGCTGATATCTCTCCATGATTCTGTTCCTGGTCTAGTTGTTTGCTTAGTTTGTTTTTGTTTTAGGTTCAATTGTTGATAGTGGTGAGTTTGTTGTCATTTTACTGATCATAGTTTTTATCTTCTTATTTTTCTTAAGATAATTTAATATTTCATATAATAAGGGCTTGGTGATGATGACCTGTTTTACCTTTATCTTGTTTGGGAAGCACTTTATCTGCCCTTCCATTCTAAATGATAGCTTTGCTGGATAAAGTAATCTTGGATATAGGTCCTTACCTTTCGTGACTTTGAATACTTCTTTCCAGTCCCTTCCTGCCTGTAAGTTTTCTTTTGAGAAATCAGCTTATAGTCTTATGGGAACCCATTTGTAAGTAACTCTCTACTTTTCTCTTGTAGCTTTTAAGATTCTCTCCTTATCTTTAACCTTGGGTAATTTAATTATGATGTGTCTTGGTGTGTTCCTCTTTGGGTCCAACTTGTTTGGGATTCTCTGAGCTCCCTGGACTTGCATGTGTATTTCCTTCATCAGAATGGGGAAGTTTCCTTTCATTATTTTTTCATATAAGCTTTCTATTCCTTGATATTCCTCTTTTCCTTCTGGCACCCCTGTGATTTGGATGTTGGAATGTTTAAAGTTGTCCCAGAGGTTCCTAAAACTCCCCTCAATTTTTTGAATTCTTGTTTCTTCATTCTGTTCCAGTGAATGTTTATTTCTTCCTTCTGTTCCAAATCATCGATTTGAGTCCTGGTTTCCTTCTCTTCACTGTTGGTTCCCTGTACATTTTTCTTTATTTCACTTTACATAGCCTTTACTTCTTTCTCTATTTTGCAGCCATACTCAATCATTTCTGTGAGCATCCTGATTATCAGTGTTTTGAACTCTGCTATCTCCTCGTCACTTAGTTCTTTTTCTGGAGTTTTGATCT